TGCAGTTGTCATGTGTCAAGACTGCCTTGGGCACAGCTTATTTTTGTTGTAGAGCTCTATTGATATTATCATTATAGTTCATATAGGAATTCATTTCTAATGTTATCTTTTAGGTTTTATAGGCAAGCACACAGCTGATGTGAAAATGTTGATGTTTAAATACACAATATGTATGACTAATTTAATACTTTATTTTATTGATATTTTATGTTCCTGTCAACTAAACATTGTATAATATGATAAGAAGCTCCTGACAAATAAGCAAGACTGGCCAGCAAGATGTCAGGCATGTCCTACCAAGAGACCAGAAATGCAAAACACATGTGCTGTCAATGTGAGTGATATGTGTGTATGGAGTGTACTGTTGTCATGTGTGAAAACTGCCTTAGGTGTGATAATTGAAGTAAAGATTATTTTTGTAGAGTTCTATCGTTATTTTCATTGTAGTTCATATAGGAATTTATTTGTGTTGTTATTTTTTTAGAGTTTGGGCACCAAAAACTAGATGTTGAAAATTTTGATGCTTTCTTATGAACACTCAATAACTATTAAAAATTCAATACTTTATTTCTTGATATTTTTGCCTGTTAAGAACTCATTGTTTAATATAATAAAACACATAAAATTAAAATTAATAGTTCATAAATAGAACTATTCTAAAAAAATAAACATGGGTGTAATACACTCACAATAATATGCCTTTATGACAAAATTGGTGTTATGCCCTGCAGGCTACTCTGAAAATCCAAAATCTGAATGTGGTAAGCCCAAAACATAACACTACAGATACAAAATTCCACACCATTAAATTTGGTCCCATGCACAAAATTATTAAAAATATTGTGTAAAATTACCTTCAAGCTAAGTATATAAAACTTAAATGAATTTTGTGTTTAGACTTGGGTCTCTTTCCAAAGATATCTTATCATAAATATGCAGTTATTCCAAAACCCCAAAAATACCCAAATCCAAAACAAGTCTGGTCCCAAGCACTTTGGATAAAGGATCCTAAGCAGAGGCTGCTCAACAGTTGAAAATCCTCTGTTCACATTATCCCATGTGCTCCTCACCCAAGCCTATATGATGGAGAATAAGGCGGATATGATAACTATTCCCTCTTTATAGATGAGAAAAGGAAGGCCCCCAAAAGGAATGGGACTCATTCAAGGCCACACAACCAGGAGGTTGTGACGGTCATGCAAGCATGCGGGAGATCTGGATGGAGATGCCCTGTCTCCCCCAAAGGAAGATCTGCCAAGTCTTCCTTTGGTCCTGAGACTTATTCTCCTGGGACTAGGCTTTGCTCCTCAGAAGCAGACCATGAAATGAGGTTTTGTGTACAAGAAATCAGGCAATGGAGGTGGAGAAGTTGTTCCACACTCACTTGGTTCAAGTTAATGGAAAACTAAACTTCCAGATGTCTCCTGCTCTGTTGGAAAATCAACTCAGGAATCCCACAGCAATGCTTTGAATGAAAGTTTCGCATTGATGATGATGGAAGTGAAAGTCCCAAAGCTAGCCTCAGGCCTCAGACCTCCTAACAAAATTAGTTAAAAGGTCCCTTAGGGGACTCTGCCCGCTGCCTGAGCCAGGGGAGTTTCTCAGCTCCTACAGCCCAGGGGCTGCACCAATAGCACTCTCACGCTTCCTTTAAGTGAAAGAGAATTGAGGCAACAGGAGTCCTTGGTGTCTTTGTGGGTAGTAGTTCCCTCTAGTTTATTTGCCAAGTTATCTGGGAAAACACAAGATTTGTTCTGATGCTGTTTTCAGCTAAAGTTGCTTCTGTTTTTCTGCTTTAGATTAGGTATGCCAAGTGATATCTATCTATCTATCTATCTATCTATCTATCTATCTATATCATTCCTAGCAAGCATTCCAAAATGTACGCCATTCTTTCTCCTTTGGGTAACTGCAAGTGATTTCCCTAAAAGACGTTCTGCTGCTCCACTTTTAGTCACTGTGGTTCAGATTAGGCCATGACCACCTTTGTGCCATGTGATTCTGGCCAATCAGAGTGCCTTAGTCGCTCTCTCCTTGTTGGGACACAATACCCAACACGCACGACTTAAAGGAGGACAGGTTTATTTGGGTTCACGTTTTTTTAGTCTGCAGTCCACCAGCTCCAGGGCAGGATGGCAAGACAGAGGGGCATACCAGAGGAAAAGCTGCTCAGGGCATGGCAGACAGGAAGCAGAGAGAGAAAAGAGAGCTGGAGAGAGAGAAATAAACCTTCCCAGGACTCATCTCAGTGCCCTCCTCTTCTGACCAGGCCTCACCTCCTAACAGCATATTTAGCTATAAGCCCATGGGTGGATTAATCCACCAGTGAGTATGAGTATAGCTCCCCTGTGATCCAATAACCTCCCCAAGCCCCTGCTTATGATACATAAGGTCTTGAGGGGCATCGAGATATAAACCATCACACAGAGCTTCAGAGCTTGGGATCCAGAAAAACAGATTGAAAAATGGTATCTGAGCTAGCCAGTGGCAATCAGAGGGATGACGTAAAACCACGTTCTCTATCTGGTGGAGTGATCAGCAGTGAACAGGAAAACACCACATGGAGCCTGAGGATGAAGGTAATAGTGAAGACATTAAACCCAACAGGTGGACAAAAACCAGGGTTCAGCCATGTCTAAAGCCATGCAAGTCGTGGTCCTTCTGTTTCCTAAGCTGACCAAGTCTCTTTGCACATAAGCCAGTTTGCCTTTCCACAGTGTGAAAAAAATCCTGATGCATTCACAGCCGAGATGCTTCCTGCAGTTTCCTTGGTATATGAGCAAATATGAAAACCTAATATACCACTTAAAATAAATTCAGTTTTAAATTCTAATGCATATTCACTTTTGCTTCAAACTCAACAAAGAATATGAACATTATTCTCATTTTATAAGAATGTAAACTGCCCCATGCCAGCTCAGATGACTATTTTTTTTGGTACCGGAAATCAAACTCAGGACCTTACACTTGGCAAGCAGGCACTATGCCACTAAGCCATAGCCCTGATTTCTCAGATGATACTTTATCCAATTGTGGGTTCTTTTTTCCAACAACAGCCCAAGGATAATATTTTTAGATTAGTGCAATACCAGGTGTCATTTTCAAAAAGTGAGATATGACTTACTGTACAATCCACCAATCCTACTTGTTTTAGAAAAACCCAGACCCCATGTATGAGAACTGGCCTCAAGTTGTGTGAACCCAAAGAAGAGGCAGACAGATGCCCAATTTCCCAGAGGGCACTTACTGGGAATTTCCTGACAGCGGTGAACCCTGGCAGGTCAGAAAACCAATGCTTCCCTGAGATCTGGGTCAGAGAGGAAGCTCCTGAAGTAGCCAGGTAAGTGACTTTGTCCAAGCTGGTTCACCTGCAGGTAGTGTCACTGATGCTGGATGCATTACTGATGCTCACAGTGCTCTGTTCTGGTTGCTGTAAAGCTCCATCTACCATTCCAAGGAGGATCTGGTTATTATTTTGTTTTGCAGGGGTCTGTTTGTTTTAGTTGATTTTTTTCATTCATTGTTTGTAGTGCTGGGGATCAAAACCTGAGCCTCACATATGCTAAGCAGATGATCTCCCACTGACCAGCATCCTCAGTCCATCATTTAATTGCTTTGCTGTATGCTAGGGAACTATGCAAGGAAAACCAAACGCCAGGTTACTCAGTCATGGGTGGTGAACACAACTCAAGGTGGCTGCAGCCGTGTCATTCTGAATCCCTAAATTATTCCTCAGTAACTTACCCAACAGAAATGAAAACACGTCTCTGTACAAAGAACTAGATATAAAGGTTCACGGGAGCTTTATTCATAACCACCCTAAATCAGAAATAACCAACATATCCATGAATAGGACAATGGATACTGTTGTGGTTTATAACTGAAATGTCCCCTTAGAATTCATTACTGAGGGCCTGGCCCCCAGTGCATGAGTGTTCAGGGATGAGGGCCTTTGGGAAAGTGCCTGGGTCATGAGGACTCCAACCTCATTAGTAGATTAATCCATGCATGGATTCATAATTGGATGACATCACTGGGAAATGTGGAAACTTTAGGAGATAGGTCCTAGTTGGAGGAAGTAGGTGACTGGGGTCATGCCCTGGGACAATGATGGTGAAACTTTTAATACTTTCAATGATACAATGATACAAATAGCCTGCTGTGTGGCATGTGTACCATAGGTTCACCACTGCCCTGGGAGGTATATCTTGTTCCCAGCATCATATTTTCTTCCTCTCTCTCACTCTCTCTCCAACCTTTCTGGATGCCATAAGGTAAGCCAGCTCCTCCTCCTCTGTACTCTCTAGCAGCCAACCCCTGCTTCACAGCAGGTCTAAAAGCAATGCAGCCAGCTAACCATGGACTGAAACCTCTGAGACGGTGAGCCAAAACAAATCTTTCCCTTTTAAAGTTGTTTTTCTCAGGTACCCTGTCACAGGAACAGAAAGCTGACTAACCCAGATAACAATGTATAGCACATTAATGTAACAGAATACTATCCAGCAAAACAGAGATAAAATACTGGTATAGGCAACCATACAGGTAAATCTCATGAGCTCTAAGCTGAATGAATGAAGGCAGGCACAACAGAGCATGTTCTGCTTAGTTCCACTGGAACTAAGTTTTAGAACAAAAAACTAATCTGCAGTTTTAGAACAAAGTTTTAGAACAAAAAACTAATCTGCAGTGAAGAAAGCCAACCGGAAATTGCTTAGAATAGCTGTGAAGAGGGGACATAGGCTAAACAAGAGCACAGAAGAATGTTTTTGGGTTGAGTGATACCTTCTGTTCTTGAGACAGGTCATGGTTTCAAAGCTATCTACCATTGTAACTGTGCATCTAAGCATGTGCAGGTGTGTGCTTTCAAGGTGTACAGTTAAAATGTGCATTTGTAAATTACAGCTTACTAAGATGGGGCTTGCCTTCTTGTAAGTGTGTTATTTCTCTAGAGTTTCCGTGATGTCCTTTTAACACTCATGCTGTTTATGGAAATAACTTACAAGAGATGACAGATGCTCACAGTTTCTGAGGTTTCAGTCCATGGTGAGCTGGCTCCATTGCTTTCAGGCCTGTGGTGGACAGAACATCATGGTGATCCTTGTGTTGCAGAGGAGGCTGCTTAGGTTTTGGTGGGCAGGAAACGAGCGGGGGGAGGGAGAAAGAGAGAGAGAGAGAGGGCAAAAGCAGGAGCTGGGGAGAAGATATTTCCTCCCAGAAACTTTCCCTGTGGCCTTACTTCCTTACACTGGATCCTACCATGTTACACCACCTACCCATAATTGGAACTGGAAACCAATCCTTTTTTTTTCTTTTCTTTTTATCAGTACTAGGGATTGAACTCAGGGTCTTTGCACTGAGCTATATCCTCAGCCTTTGTGCTTTTTAATTTTGAGACAAGGTCTCAGGAAGTTAACCAGGTGAGATTTGAACTTGTGATCCTTTCACCTCAGCCTCCCCATATTGGGATTACAGGCATATGCCACTGTCTGGCTGGGACCAAGCCTTGGGCATTGATCCAATCATATCAGATCCAATCACATCCGTGGATCCCGATACTATCCCAAACACACATTTCTCATTATACCTTTACATTTCCATACCTGCTGTTCTCCAATTTGGAATATACTGTTCCCTCTTCTCCCCTGGGCAAAATCCCATTCATCATCCCATTCTTCCTTCATTCATTCATTCAGCAAATATTTATTGAGTGCCAGGCCCTGTGACAGGCACTGGGGCTAAAGAGAAATATAAATCAAGGGCTCTGTCCTTTAGGGACATATACTAGAAAATGGAGTTTTAGTTGAATGTCCCCAGATTTATGTTGCCAGCATTTTCTGTCTGATAAAAAGACTGTCAAAGACTGTTAACCTGAAGGCTACACTGCTCCATTATCCACCCTAACAGCCAGTTACACACAACATGTTCTGCAGCCGCCCTGAAGGTTCTGTGTGAACATTAAACAAAGGGAATCTCTGAGGAGTTAACAAGACAGGAGGAACAGCTCTAAGAATCTAAAGGAAAACTCGATTTCCACGCATTTCTTTTTGTTGTTGTTTTTAATTTTTATTCTTATCAGTGCACATTTGTAGTACATAAAGTTTCTATTCTTCAAGGGGAGTTGTGCCTGGACGTACAACACCTTCATTCTTTCCATCCACTTCTTCTCCCCCTCTACCCACCTCCCTCCATCCCTTTATCCCTTTCCCTTTCACAAAATATCTATCTCCCTGTTTCCTGTTACCTATATTTTTTATTTTTCTCTTTATTTATACTTTGGGCTTCTCATATAAGAAAAGCTATGTGATATTTAAGTTTGTGTGTCTGGTTTATTTCATTTAAAGTTATTATCGCAAAGTATAGCTGTTTTCATACAAATGACTCAAACGTGTTCTTCTTCATGGCAGAGTAATACTCTATTGCATGTAAAGACCACATTTTCTTTGGCCATTCATCTGTTGATGGACATATAGGCCACTTCCAAGGTTGAGCTATTATGAAATGTGCTGCTATAATCATGGTATGTGCATGGATCACCATAATATGATGTCTTTAACTCTTTTAGGAAGAAAACCAGCAGATTTCAATGTATTTTTAAAGTGTTGATAAATATGACAGAACATGGAAATTTAAACACAACACAGCAAGAGCTCTTAGTGTGACAGACACATCCCCCCAAGTGGGGCTTGAGGTCCACTGCACCTTGCTGGCCTCATAGGATAGACCATGGGGACATAGCCAGTCATTTTACTGATGTTGTCCTTTAACTTTTGGAGTATTTTTAAAGGTCAGTTAGTACATTGCTTCTGTAAAAATTTATTTTTTAATTATTTGTATTTCTTTCTCTTTCCTTATCAACTTTGATTTCTCAACCATTAAATCTTTACTTGATTAAAAATGTCACCACAGAGATAGAATATTACATAGTAAAATTACTAACTTAGGACTTGAAATATTAATGCTTGAAAGGATGTTAAATCATTTTAATTTTAGTCTTACAGAAAATATTGCAAAGATAATACGGAGTCCCCATAGAACTTTATGCCCAGTTTACTTATTATCTTGCATTGAGCGGGCACATTTGCTACACTTAATGAACCAATATTGATACATTATTAAGTGGTGTTCATCCTTCCCTCAGATGTCCTTGATTTTCACACAATGTCCTTCTGTTCCAGCATCCTACCCAGGATGCCACATTCCATTTAGTCCTCCTGTCTCCTTAGGCTCCTCTTGGCTATTACATTGTTCAAACTCTCCTTCTGTTGGATGTCCACTCTTCAGGGGTTTTATAGGATGTCCCACAGTTAGGATTTGTCTAGTATTTTCATGGTTAGACTGGAGCTGTGTGTTTCTAGGAGAAGGATCACGGCAGTACAGCACCCTGCTCATCACACTCTGTCAGGTGCTCCTGCTATCAGCATGACTTATTGCTGGGGATGCTGACCTTGGTCACTTGTCCCAAGTAGTGTTTTTCCACTGTAACCTGACTCCTGTCCCTCTCTCTCTCCCTTCCCATACAGTACTCTCTGCAAAGCAGACACTATGTGCAGCTCACCCAAAGGAGTAGCAAGTTACCCCCTGATTGCTGTGTTATTCAGATTTCCACCATTGTGACAGAATAGTTGATGTCATCAATTTTAAAAAAAAGATTTCTTTAGGCTCTTGGTCTCAGAGGTTTCAGTCCATGGCTGACCCAGTCACACCAGGGCCTATGCTGAGTGAAATACCAAGGTGGCTGGAGTATATGACCCAAGAGACTGCTTACTCCTTGTAGCAGGGAAGAAAAAAGAGACAAAAAGGAAATAAGGACCTAATATTTTCTTCAAGGGGAGCCCCCAGTGATACATTTCATCCAACTATGACCCATTCCTAAAGTTTCTGCCACTTCCCAATAACACCACTGGCTGGGACCAAGGCTCCGCATATGAGCTTTTGTGGTACATTTAAGAGTCAAACCATAACAAAGGTAGATAAGTTATTTGGATTTCTACATAAGTTATTTGGATTTCTTACGTGTGGAAGATTTGTCGTTTCAGTTATTTAGTGAATCACTTATTTACTGTGCATTTACTTATTCAGTCATTTATTTTCTCATTAGGGGCTTACACATGTTATGTTATGTCATGTTATGTTATGTTATATTATGTCATGTTACATCAGGTTATTATACAATGGTACTTTATTTGATTGCTCAAGTTGTCCTAACTTTGGCCTTTAGGGGCTCTTTCTGCTGACCACTGTGTCCCTTTACTGTACTCCTCCTGTGTTGAGCACATCCCTAGTTTCTGGCACTACACAACACTCCAGGGCCATCTTGCATATTTTTTACTCCAGCCCTGGAAGCAGCCGTTTGTCCAAGGAGTCCTCATTCCTTTTACAAGAGCGTGGCTTTAGACACTGAGATCTCGCTGCTAAGAGTGCCTGTTGATACTTTTGTATTAATCACCTCATCAATTACATATTTTCCAAAAACCCAACATAACAAAGGTTATAGGAAGGAATTTTCACTTCCTAAGAGCAATAAATAAAGCTCTTTAAATAACCTTTTCCCGGACTCTTACCCTGTTGATCTATTGCTGTTAGATTTTCTTCAATGACTAAAGCCCAGAGAAGAATGACAGTAACCAATACTCTCAAAGGAAGTACATCATACACCCAGAATACACTCGCTGAAGCAACATGTTTTCTCCCAAGACGTTGGTTTTTCTAAAAGATGTATTTTTTTGACAAATTTTTTTTGTGACAGTGTTTCACTAGGTAGCTCTGGCTAGCTTCAGACTCTGAATCCTCCTGCCTCAGGCTTCTGTGTAGTTGAGGTTATAGGTTTGTGCCCGCACGCTCTCCTCTGGATAACCTTTCTGTCTTTAGAAAGGCTGACCTAAATTTGTGACTTTGGGTACTTTAGAGGGCTATTCATATTTAAAAACTGGTTATGTCTGTATATTATTTTCAGCCAATTTTTGGGCCATTTCAGGAAAATTTTGAATTAAAATTTATCATTTCTGTAGCAAAAGCTATATAAATATATGGATAAAGTCTCTAAGACTTTTGAATTCGAAAAACTTTTTAAAAATGAAATTAATTTTTTAAATTTTGACCTTTTCAGAAAACACATTCTCTCTCTCTCTCTCTCTCTCTCTCCTTTTCTCGCTCTCTCCCCCTCCTCTCTCTCGGCATAGTAAAGCAAAGATGACAACTATAGTTTTCAGCAGATAAGCCAACGTCAAATTCTAGCTCATCTTTGTTACAATTGTTTTTAACTCAATAAAAGAGTTCAAAGTTAAATTTTGACTAAGA